GTAGGTCCCCTAAGAGTATTGCGGTATTATGGTACATGGAGGATTGTATGATGATGGATGAGTTCTTGTGGCTGTGCAAATTGTGACGAGTGATAGGACGTGAATCGGATTAACTAGGTATAAGATAGTAAGTAACGATTAGCCTCCAACTTTTCCCCCTTTTAGGCCTTGTGCCAAAATTGTATTTTATATACAAGTAGCCGAATTACCCGCGCTTTGCTGCGTGTCACACATTTTTGTAAGAAAATGATGATTGATTTTAATTCATTGTTATAATCTATGGAGAAAATGATGTATTTCAGTATTACTCAATGATCTTGCCGACGTGACCTCCATCTTCTGGTTTTCTCCTTCTATATTTTGGATAGGAATCATTTCCATGTTCAAATTTAATTTTAATTTAAGTCAAAAGGAAAAAGATTTTAGTGGAGGTGGATATGCAAAAACAGCTTGAACTGACCCCTTTCATATGTATTTCATGCAATACTTGATTGAATGAATTGATGAGCAAATTTTAATATTGATATGACAACTAAATTGTCGAAATAAATATGTATTGTAAGGCACTACCCACTGATTGATGATTTCTTGCCCAACTTGATGTCCATACTGTTTCATTTTGATCGTGTTGATGTGACCTCCATCTTCTGGTTTTCTCCTTCTATAGTTTGGATAGGAGTCATTCCTTTGTTCAAATTTAAATTTAATTTAAATCAAAGGAAAAAAAATCAATGGGGATGAGGTGCTATCAACGGGGACTCCCTTTAATCAAAATGAAATATTCTTATCCAAGTACCTTGGGTAATGTAGTTTCAGGATATATATGGTTCTGGGGGTCTATCGCTAAAAACATGAAGCAGTTCGATAAGAGGCAGACAGAGGTTATAACTTTATTTACAGTATGGGGGGGGGACAAAAATTCGTACACAAATTTTTAATTTATTGTATTTCCAACTAATGAATAAACATAATTTTCATATAATTAACTGTACGCAGATGTTTAATAATTAAATATGCATAGAAAACAAAAAAAATTGATTTAATAGAAATAAATTCCATTTATCCATTTTAATGGGTAAAAAACTATTCGTACAAGACAAAAAAGAATACATAATCTTTATTTAATGCTTTGTAGAATCGCTATTATTCACTTCTACATCAACCAACCCCTTCTTGTTGTTCTCAATTAATGATTTGTAAATTTTAGTTGGTACTACCCATGACCCGCTGGGTCACTAACGCTTCAGTTTATAAAACAGTGAAGTTTTCAACATTAACCCCCCCCCCCCCAAAAAAAAAACCTGTGTTTGAAGAAAGTTAAAATAAAAATACTTACTTACTGTATAAACAACTCGCATTTTAAAATCTTATTCACTTAGTGTTATACCGGAACATACCTATTCTATTGTTAATAGACTCTCCCACACATAATAAGTAGAAGTAGTAGCAGTCGCCAGGGCTCAGTGAGTTGAGTGAGTCAGTCGATGTCGGACATTGAAGTAACAACCACCATAACTAGATTGCTGCGTCGTTAACTATTATTTTCAAGATCCTAACGTTTTGTACGTCGAACCTAATTTAGGACCGACTTAGTGAAAGCCTCCACTGTGAAAACTACGCTACAACACTTAGAATATTTTAAAATCAGACTAACTTAAAAATATTTTTAATATGCTAAAAAATATGTTTAAATCATATTCTCTTGAAAATATTTTTTAAATATGCCAAAAAATATTTTTTAAATATTTAAAATATTTTTTTGAAAGAAAGCTGAAATAGAAATAAGCATGCACGCAATCACAGAGAGTGGTAATAGGAAGAGGTGGAAAGAGAGAGAGAGAGATGGAAAGAGAGAGCGATGGAAAGAGAGATAGAAGTGGAAAGAGAGAGAATGATGGAAAGAGAGAGCGAGGTGGAAAGAGAAAAAGGTAGAGAGAGAGAGAGAGGTGTAAATAGAGAGGGGGAAAGAGAGAGAGAGAGTTGGAAAGAGAGAGAGGTGGAAAGAGAAAGCGGTGGAAAAAGGGAGAGGTAGAAAGAGGGAGAGGTGGAAAGACAGAAGCAGAGAGAGAGAGAGAGAGAGAGGGAGAGAGAGAGTTTCTTTTTGGTCTCACTGTCAATTCATTCCCTTCTCTTCTCCACCCTTCCTACACGATATTAAATTCACATCTTTCTTTCCCCCACTCTCTATATATGGCTTTGTGTGCACGGTGTCAAACACACAAGCAAGTAATCAAACTTCATAGATATTTATAGTAATGAAGATCTATCGAGACAGTAAAAGCCGTATTTTGCAGTCATCTGAGACAATACACTAGTAATTTGCAGCTAGACTTACTCTAAGAGTGACTGAACTCAACGAAGTAATAGACACATAACAAAAACAATCTCCCATGAAATTACTAAACCGCCTATGAGATGTTATTGAATATAAACATCTAACTTATTATAAAACCCAGGTTGTGTGTGTGTGTCTGTCTGTACGTTTATATATTGGATCGGATTTCCTACATTTTTCAACCGATTTCAACAAAACTTCACAGGACTTCGTAAAATTACCTTGCGGTGGTTCTGACAGCGCCCCAAATCGGAAAAACACAATTGTTTTTGCACGAAATCAATTTGAAAACACGATTAAGAGGCATCGCGAGAATGAAAGGGGGACAACTTATATCGAGTTATACTTATTATAAAACCCAGGTTGTTTGTGTGTGTGTTCGTTTATATATGTGATCGAATTTCCTACATTTTTCAACCGATTTCGACAAAGCTGCACTTTTTTTTGGCAGGTAGTGTTTCTTATTGTCTTGCACACTTTTTTCTTTATTTTTACATTCAGAATGCTTTAAAAATTCCATTAACAAGACAATTGTTTATAATAAAATTCTATTCAATCGGTAGAGACTCATAACGATTGAAAACAATGTTTTTGTTTGAGTTTGGGTTTGACCAATTCGTAAAAAAAACAAAACAAAACAAAACAAAAAAACAAACAAAAAACTAATTAAGACATGCGTGTCCGTCAACCTTAAACTTTGTCAGTTTTATTTTTCAGTCTTTATGATGGTCGATACTTGATCTATCTCTTACTGTTACATCCCCGGGCAACGCCGGGCTCTACTGCTAGTCATTATAACAATGCATCTGTCAATTCTTCACCCTGCATGCAGGTGTTTTGGGAAAAGTCGCATAACACTCTTATAGAATGCAGACTGCCTCTGTACTTTAGGTTTATCATATTGTTGTATGTACCTACGTAAATATTTGAGGTCTGCCATAGTCAGGGTCGGGTTATCCTTTGGGATAGCACAAGCTGCAGCCTAGCATCCCTGAAGCTTTTATAAAGCAATGATCTTAATTTTCTAAATGTTATAACTTCTAAATAATTTATAAACTGAAATGACAATGTAGGGAGATTATTATTATTATTAATAAATAAAAATAAAAATATGAAATAACAATAATAATAAATATCATAAATAAAATAAAACAAATAATATTGAAACTTTATTCGGATTGTTGTCTTCATCATCGTTGCCATATTCATGACGTTTCGACCGTTGTACGCTCCGGCCGTCTTCAGGTAATTGGAATGTCGAACTGAGCCCTTTATTTCGGCCACCGGGGTAGATTGTTCTAGTTCTACGTGTACTGCCTCTCCCAGATGTCTCAATAATCTCCCTTTTGACTCAACTCTCTAAGTTTTTGTCCACCTCTGCTCTAGCCAGGTATTGAATTCACAAATCTTTGGGTCAATTCACTATATTCAACCAACGCTTTTATACACTGGGCCGTGCGTATGAATTTTTGGGACTCATAAGCCTAATGTCTCAGTTACCAATTACTTACCATAGCTCATATTACAATTTGTTTTTATTATTGCTTTTTTCGAGCACAATTACTAGTTCCCATATTGTATTCATTTCTATGCTTGGTTGGCTCAGGAGATTTTTGTGGCCTAGCATATGCGCTGATTCCACGTTAGTCCGAACAATGTAAATAGCGTAAATAACAACAATATTCCATTACAGAAATATTCTGAAGAAGGCAGGCTCGTACAACAACCGAAATGTCGTGAATACGGCAAAGACGATGAGGACAACAGTCCGAACCATGTAAATAATGCAAATAATTACAATATCCCATCACAGAAATATAGACATATCCTGAAGAAGGCCGGAATGTATAACGGCCAAAATGTCGTGAATATGGCAACGAAGATGAGGACAACAGTCCGAACAATGTAAGTAGTGTAATAATTACAATACCCTATCACAGAAATATAGACATATCCTGAAGAAGGGCGCAGCATACAAAGGCCGAAACGTCGTGAATATGGCAACGAAGATTCAACAGTCCGAACAATGTAAATAGTGTAAATAATTACTGTACTCCATCACAGAAATATAGACATATCCTGAAGAGCGTAAAGTACAACGACCGAAACGTCTTGAATATGGTAACAAAAATGAGGACAACAGTTTGAACAATGTAAGTAGTGTAAATAATTACAATATCTCATCGCAGAAAATTTCTTGTCGAGAGTTCCATATGATTGAAAAAATGACATTATTGAAAGTGTTTACTTAAACTTGAATAATAATCATCGGCCTAGTTTATACTGGCCACTTTATTAGCAGAAAATTTGTTAAATTTGATATACGTTACATTAATTAATTTTATGTATATTACTTGATAGTATTAATAGCGAGCATTTTAATTTCTGTTATTCACTAACTCCCCACTCTCTTTCTCTCTCTCTCTCTATATATATATATATATATAGAGTATATATATATATATATATATATATATATATATATATATATATATATATATATATTTGTTTGGATAGATGTGAGTTTGTGACCCTGGGTTTCACGCTTTAGTGATCGTCAGAGCTCTATCTCTGATATTGAGAGCTTTCTAATAAGTATTGCGTATATAATATATAAATAATTATACATATATATATATTTATTTATATTTATATACACTTTTCACACACACACACACACACACACACACACACACACACACACACACACACATATATATATATATATATATACACACGAATATATATATATATATATATATATGTATGTATGTATGTATATATATATACACGCACACACGAATTCATTCAGTAGCTCAGTTACTAAATCTATTTTCAAAATCTACTGTAGAAGTCATAACATAATTTACCTCCTAGAATGCACACTATGCCAGAAACAATATGTAGGAAAATCTGAATGGCCCTTTCACTACAGAATTAATAATAATCGCAATCGATTTAAGGCGACTCTCCATGAAAGATTATTACCTGTAGAACAACATTTCCACCTAGAAAAACACGATTTTAAAAGCCATGCCAAATTCACTATAATTGAGAGAATAGAAAAGTTCAGAGCAGATAACATTGGAAAGATTTTAGAGTCCCATGAAAATAAGTGGATGCAAATTTTAAAAACGCACTATCCTGACTGGCTCAATCACATATTTAATAATATAGATAGTATTAATATATAATCTCACAAACCAGGACCTACCCAAATTTCTCACCCACAGAAGACAAACATGCTTACGGAGGTGTTGAGGCCTCACACTTATACACACACCAACACGAATATACACACTCACACACATCATACTCACTCATTCCCTAATGAGCCAAATAATAACACACACCCATTGTAATATACACGGTTACACACATCATACTCACTCACTCACCCCCTAAGAACCAAATAACACACACACTTAACAGAGACACATCCCCTTTTCAGGAACCAATAAAACTGTCAAAATGACCCAGGGAATTCAGAGCAGCATGAATCCATCCAGCTCTTATCTTAAATAACAACTTAAAAGAGACTGTTTGACCAACACAAAGACTGACCAAAATTCATGTTTAAAAAATAAAAAAAACAAAAGAAAACTATAGACAAAAGTTCATTTTCTCCATCAAGACATTCATTTCTGTAGTTCACTGCTACCAGCAAACAGAAAATTATTTTTCTCCTCATGATGGCCATGTTGGCCGAAACTAGTCAAGGAATCTAAATGAAATAATATAAAATGAAATAAAAACGAAAGAATATTAATATACAACCTAGTATGTCTGAAGATTTTAATTTTTATAGTTCAATATATATATATATATATATATATATATATATATATATATATATATATATATATATATATATAATTAAACGTTATTATGTATATTGGTAATTGAGACTTCAAGAAAACACACAAAAGAAGAGAAAGTCACACACACACACTGACAGTAATAATAATAATAATAATAAAAGCAGCCACCTATCTACGTATAAACCTAAAGTACTCATTGCTACTTGAAACGACAGGAAGACAGAACAGTAATACTGACAAACCAAACAGCGCTCAGGAACTCAAATCCAAATCGTTAAGCTATCGACAGCGGCATTCCGGATAATCGCTCTTCAGTAGGATTATCCAAAGATCGAAAGCTGTTGAAAATTATTTTTTCCGTCATAGTATCTGCACCCCATGTCTAACCATTTTTGTACAGCTTCAGGTGACTGAATTTGGAATTCACAGGTTTTTTCTCCTAGACTTGTTGCCAACAACTGCTAGAGAGCCCAGTTTGCCTCGTTATTTAACCCAAAGCTGGGGAAAGAAAGGATGGATTCGTATTTTCCCAATAGTATTTGTGTGAAAGTGAATATTAATGGACACACACACATACACACACACACACACACACACACACACACATATATATATATATATGAGTGTGTGTGTGTGTGTGTGTATATGTAAACAACGTGTAGTGATGCCCTCGTAAACGCTCAAAGAGATTAGTAGCGGCTGATTAAAAAAATATGCCGGACCATGGAACTTACGGGACTACAGAGTACCGGATTAAAGAAGGCGGACTGTACTTACTGCGTTGGTATAAAAACTAACCATTTGTCAACTTCTTTAGCAGTGGATCGGATATATGAGTTCTAATTGAGATGTGGGATTAGACATTCAAGGCAAGGAACCTCATTATGACACTACCTGTTCATCATGAGAGGCGAAAAGTCCCATTTGATTTGTTTAACAGCACATCAACTCCTT